GGACCTTAACGTGGTGCGACGGTTTGCGTACCTCGTTGACCCATTGAGCTCTACTGGGTGGGGCCTTTGGCTGCTTGAGAGGCACTTCTACCAGCTTACTCAATAGTTAGAAGTCAGACGAACTCAGCCTCCTGGTCCTCCAGTTTTAGGGCTTGAAATGGGATGGCATCTATTTACAAAGATCTGAATCGTTGTCACTTTCGCTGTCTTGTGGATAGACTTTTAAGCCAAAGGTTTTGGTTGAGGACCCTAATCGTCCTCCTGTCTAGGTATCGGCGCCCTGGCAGGATCTTAGCCTATGTACAACCATGACTACTTCTTCCTACTTCAACCGTACTCTGCATCGGCCGTCTCGCAACTTATCGAGGGTCGCCTTATCTGCCGCATACATCAGGGTATATATATATATATATATATATATATATATATATATATATATATATATATATATATATATTAATGTATATATATGCAACAGTCTGTGAATAGACTTTAAGCCATCGGAAACCATGGAACTCAAAACAAGGTACAGAAATAGTAAAAGAACACACAACACAACACATCAAAGTCCATGATTTCGTCAGAGGGCGAGATACTACCCAGTTGCCTAAGCCGAAGTAGGGTGTTGACTTAGGGGAAACCACCCCAAGCCTTTGGCTGAATAGCCTGCCCGCAAGGCAGCGGAGCGATTCAGGGAATCGCGCCCATTGGGAGCCGGTGACTGATTTCTCAGTTCATACGCCTTTCGTTTGTTCCTTTGTCAAACAGGGGCCCAATGCTCCCCAAAATTACAGCATAAATTTGCTGGAATACAATGCTTCGCCAGGATGAAGCAAGGGGCAGTGACTTTATTTAGTGGCGAGTCACACCCGCCACGTCACAGTGTTGTTAAACGGACATATGTGGTTTTTTATAGGGAGAACGCTTGTCAGGCGAAAACCCACCACGTCCTGGAACACTACCGCTGAACCATTTGCTGGAACGGGAAAATCCCGAACCACCCAGCTGGCACCACGAGGAGTTTGTTCGGCAAACCAGCCATACATCAAGGTGGATAGGCGGCAACATATTGCTGCTGGTGCCTCCTTTCTTTCCTTTCACCTGTTTCTCTTACTCCCTTCCAAATCCCCATTACTAGCCTTCTTTCTACAATCCAGTTTAATTAACAGCAGCTGTAATGCCACTGGTGTCATCCCATCTGTGCCTTCTTGCACCACACAGCTAACAGCTCCTTATAAGGCCACACTGTCCGTTTTCTTGGCGGTGTTCAATCTTCGCACTCTAAGACTAATAGGTCAACTGGCTACACTCGCACGCACGTTAGACACGCTGGATATTGACGTGGGTTGTATGCCCGGAACTAGGATCAATATCCCTCACGGACTTGTTGAATTAACTGCCCCCTAGTTGTCCTCTCGCTATTGGTTGCACGCATCCGGAGACGCTGATGCGGCAACCACTAGTCAGCTCGTGGTGGGCCTCGTTCTCAGCTCCAAATCTGAATCATTTTTGTTTGATTGGTTTCCCGCGAGCAACCGTTTGTGTGCAGTCCGTTTGATGACATCAACTAAGGTTGATTCACGAAGTTGTACTAGACTGTTAGTGTTTTCCGCTTATTATGCCCCCACCCACTTCAGCTCTGATGCTGCCAAGGACACCTTCTACCACGAACTGAACCCACTGCTTCGCAGCGTTACCGGTTCACACATCGTTGCTGTTGCAGTGGATATGGATACATAAGTGGGTCGTCTGGGCACTTCAGAAACTCCTCTATGTGGTAAGTATGGGTTTAACTCCGAATGGATGGACAGCGGCAAACGTCTGTTGCAACTATGCGCAGAGCACCAGCTGTTCTTAGTAGCACCGCTTTTCGACACAGTGGGTGCCGAAGTTACAGTTAGCGTCCTCTTGTAGCTGGCCAGCCATGGACCCAAATAGATCACGTTGCCATAAGACACAGGTGGCATGGTTTCATCCTGGACTGTCGCTCGTTCTGGACTACCTGCGTCGGCTGTGGTCATGCTTTGGACTATGTCGTTTTTCCATTAGCTTTACCGGGAGGCGTACCAACCGCCTCCCTCCATTGGCGACTGAGAAGTTATCACAGTCCTCTGTCAAGCAAACCCACCAGGATGCCTTTGCATAACGAACTTTCACCCTCGTCCTAATGACATTGAACTTCAGTGGAATAGGATCTCGGCCGCCGTGTACGATGCGGAAGCTTCTGTTTGTGACACTACCATCTTCACCGCACCAGTCACTGCATATTTGAAAGGTCGGTGGGGCTGTCGGAATCGAGAGGAAAATTCCCGGCTGGTTCTGCGCACAATGTAACCAGGCGAACTATTAGATGCGAACTAAAACGGAGTCTGCGTGCGGACAAGAAAGCTTGGTGGACCATTCAGGCTTAAGAAATGGTCGAATCAAGAGCCGTGGTCAATTATCATTCTTATTATTACGTCATGACTAGCTGATCCGCAACACTGGTCCAATGAAACCGGGCATCATTGCGACAATCAGAGACAGTGTGGGTGCCCTAATTTACAATAAGGAGTGTCGTATGGCTTGTTCAGGGAAACACTTTCGAGACCAGTTCAGTTGGTCCCTTGCTCCTGGACCTCATCTTACTCAGGTGGTGCAGGCTGAGTCATGGACGGTTAGTTTAGGGGCTCTATCTGAAGCTGAGGTCCGATACGCGATCGCAGCCCTTAATAGTTTTCATGCCGCTAGCCCGAATTCCATATCAACTGCACTATTTAAGGATGGAAGTGAGGTTCTCTGCAAAACACTGACCTCCCTGTTGGAACATGTCTGGAAGGAAGAGACCGTCCCGGCTAGTTGGAGCGAATCGATTATACTGGCAATATACAAGAAGGGCAGTCGTACGGAATATGCTAATCACAGGGGTATTAACCTAACGCCAGTTGTGACAAAATTACTGATCTCCATTCTCGTTCGTCACCTCACAGCGGAACGGGAATCTCGGGTTAGGGAAGATCAGGCAGATTCAAGAGCAGCGCTACACATACCGCAGGCCGACAATAGCTGTGTTCCTGGACCTCAAAAGTGCGTTCGGTTCAGTCGATCGGTCCATTTTCTTTGAAAAATTTGTTTCGTAGTGTTTCCCGTGAGATATGCACACATTTTACTTGCTGTATACTCGAACACGTTAGGCCGCCGGTGATTTATCGGAGGCCTTTCCGACAATAAGCGGCGATCTTCAAGGTTGTCCAATTCACCCATTTTTGTTCAACTTCGTCAAGCACTCCATCATAGAGTGTTCTCTGCGGAATCTCACGATGCAAGGGTTGGGGGGCTGCCTAGTGAAAAGTTAGTTGATCAATTATGCGGACGATATTGTCTTGCTTTTTAATGATGTTGAGGCGGCCCAATTAACCCTGAATAACTACCCTTTGGTATGCGCTTCTCACCTTCAAAGTACAAAGTGTTGTTACAGGACCACCAGCCACTCGATGTCCCATTGACCCTTAATAGCGAGGAACGAGGTTGTTGGTCACTTTAGTTACCTTGGCTGCTACATCGCCAACGATGGGCACATGAGCACTGAAGTCAATTCATGTATTGCAAAAGCTAGAACCGGCTTCTTGAATCTGCGACATCTGTGGTGTTAAAAACGGGTTTCCCTCGTTCCGAAATATCATTTGCAAAGCCAGTGAGGATCGTCCTACTCTATAGGAGTGAGATTTGGTCTCTTTTACCTGAGGACCTGCGGCGCCTTCAAGTCTTTGTTCATCGTTGTCTGCGAAGCATTGCTGGTGTCGGATGGTACCAGCGTGCCCGCAATGATGATGTGCGTAGACGAGTACTAGGTAGTGATGACTAAGCTCGTTGCTTAGAACAACAGATAGCACTGAATAAGTTACGTTGCTTGGGCACGTACTGCGGATGCCCAGTCACCGCCTACCGAGGAGCGTCTTGTTTTGTTTGCCAGATGTATGGTGGCGTGTGTCTCGAGGTGGGCAAAAGTCAACTTGGCGGTGGGAAATGAAGTCACCAACGACCAGACTCGCTTCGGTCGGTCAGTCTCATCTTTCAGGCTGGAGTCCACGTGACTCACCTTGTGCTTGGCTCGAGACTTTACAGGACATGGCTCGCAGTCGACAACAGTGGCGCGTCTGCTGCCGTGTCTTAGTCGGATTGCCTGTTTAAATTCTGTTTGTTACTGGATTATCTGCGGTTTAATGGTTGATTATGACGCGGGACAGTGAAATCCGCAAATAAGCTGTCTCACGGATGCCGTCTTATCTTTGCACGATGGCCAGCTATATGTGACGGTATGTTGTTGACACAAGGTGTAGGCGCCTTGACCCTGAATGTTTGTTTAGAGTAATAAAGTTTTACACTAGATCTCCCTTCTCTCTTTGTTAGTATTGTTTATTCCTTAGGTTACCGTGGTTGTACAGCGGCGAAGCATCAGTGCAAATGACTGATTTACTGGTGTTGATGATGATGAGTGGATGCGCTTGCTTGCCTCATCATCAGCCCGAGTTGGTCTCCATTCTCGTTTGTCAGCATTTGCTTACCTTTTAAGTACCATTTCACACAACTATCAACTTTGGTCAACTAACTGTCTGATTGGCGTTGGGCTCAAATTTCACTTCATCGAAGCTCATTCTATTCACATAACTGTTGTCTTCCTAACTCGGATCGCTTGTGTTGAACTTGCTTGTTGTTACGTGCAACATTAACACACTCTTCCTGATGTCTCAAAACTGCCCTCGACCACTCTCTGTGCTGTCAAGTGCGATGGCTGTTTGGATCTGTCAAGCACGCTGTGTTTGCAATTTCTGCCTCTGCATAACACTTTTGTAGAGAACATTACGGTTTTTCGTGACCACTTCACGTGACTACCAACTGACCTGATTTGACAGTCTTTGTCCCACTCCTGCCCGGATACTTGGGCTCAAATACACAAAAATAAACTTCTTGTGGCAGTACCATGCTAATGATCATTTCTCCTTTGTCTATTCTGTTTTCAGCCGAAGTTCGAGTCTCCAGCTAGTCCACCAATCGGGTTTGTTCCTCCTGATGGTTTGAGCCTACTGGAACAGTTTGGTTCTCCGGGGCCGATGAGTGATGGCGTGGATGCGGACACCGGGCTTTGCGCCAAATATGGGTACCTCCTCACTCGGCTTTGTACCGTACCGAAAGATACCAGTGTGTTCGGTGCAATCAAAGATGCTTTTAGACGAACTGGTGATTGTCCCATTCGTGCACGGCTCTTGCGTCTTCGGTGTCCAATCACCATAAGTAATGGCGGGGCCGGCTTTGGCGAGTGGAAAGGATCCTACTCGTCTTCGTCTCCTGTGAGCCCTCATGTGCCACTTTATTTCCCATCGTTTTTACAACCACATCTACCGAACTTGACCGTTTTACCTTTCTTCTTAGGAGTGGGAAGAACTCGGACTAGATGTTCGCAAACGACTGCGTTTGACATTTGATTCAGAGTCTGAGTTCTGGATCCCTTTGGACGATGTTTTGAAACACATGGCTGGTGTAGTAATCTGCCGTCTGCCTGACACGAGCATTGTCAGTCTTAGCGGACGCACCTGGCAACTGAACGAGCACCATGGGGCCTGGCATGGGGATCAGACCGGCGGTAGTCTACGGTATCGCGACTCGTTTTTCTCAAATCCTCAGGCAAGTTAATTTTTCCTTCCATCCTTGCTTTCTTATTTCGACTTTCTACGAGGCGAAAACTCCACAACACGACCATTTCGATCACTAGGACCGTAGCTGAAGTGGAAGGAACTTTGGTGTTGCCCGCCCGAAAGTTCTGCAGTCCCTGACCTGTTTCGAACATGCAGTAAAACCTCCGTAACTTGGCCACTCAATGGACTGAACCAAAGTAGTCAGCATAATGGTAGGAGTAGTAAAGTATACGTTTATTTTCACCTACGCTCCTTTTCAGATATTTTCGCTGAGCTCTTACATAACGGCAAACACCGGTTCAATCATTTAGTGTTATAATAGATCAAACTGCAGTGGGTTTACTTTGGGGTTACTTCTTTTTTTGAGCAAACTATCGATCATTGTTTCTTTCTCTCATCACCAACGTAACGGAAAAAACGCTCTCAACCCAAACTACACTACTCAGCATTCTTGGACATTTTCCCACAGCAAATGATTTCAGTTACGTTTAAAAACGCCTGACAATCATTTTTTGGAGTTTCTGTTCTTTCCATGTCATCTTCACTTAGTTCTTCATCTCAGGCGCTTCTTGCTTTCTTTAGGAGCGTTCCGTAGTCTTGGAAAATAGCATCTGGGTCTAGTTCAGTGCAGGGGTAAAGTCACCATCCATTTCAACAAGCTGTTCAGAATCAATACCCTCTAATTCTGCCATGAAAGTTGGAATGTTTAATAAGGCAACAGCGTCCACATCGAGAATTTGAACGGATCCAGGTTGCTTGAGGCGCTTTTATATTGTTTCTGGTTGAACTTCGTACCAAACGGAATTTATCCGAAGCACAGTATCTAAGGCATTAACTGACGCAGTAGGTAAAGTTCATTATCAGATCTCTCCCATTACTCACGCCTGTGCTTTTGGATGTTTCTAACTATTGTCTTGCTGACACTAAATGTTCATCTTTTTTGGCTGCTGCTTTCCAGAGAATGACGTCAGCGTCAATGTCACCACAGTCCAAGAAGCTGATAAACGGGTTTTGAACAGGTTAGCTTAGTAACCGGTTAATCGATGAATATTTATTTTCGGCAAAGGCATGTTTGGATAGAGAAATGAGCAGTTGAGCAATATGCCAAGGTGAGACAAATTCACCGACATAATAGTAAGCAAATGGCTCAATAAAAGCTCGGGGAACTCGATCATGTACGCCAAGTACGCGTCAGTGTTTGTGTTGTTATAGTGATTGTGTTTGGTAGACTGCATCTCGCATATAAATATCATACATACGTATGGTTCCTCGGAAATATCCAAGGTCGAGAGTCCCAATGACAACAGGTGTTTTGCTGACGCGGGATGGATATATCCTCCATTGTTTAAGATGCGCGGAAAATGTACAGTCGATGAGTTTACCGAGAGTACAGTTTGTGCGTAGTTTCTGGTGGCCGCTGCGTAATCACCGATGCACTATTTATCAATTTTGTTTTGGTAAGATTGGGCCATCCGGTGTGCGTCACAAACAGCAATATCCATCACGTAGATAATAGTGTCGCGGCAGATGAATGGATCTGGCTTAATGTGAGTCGTTGACATGAGAATGCGTGGATCCGGGGTGACTAGCTCTCTGACGGCGTAGAATCGTTGCAACTTGATTGGCAATGCTATTGTCGTTTGCAGCGTGCATCATAGGTTACCCTGCTAGACTGGAGCACGTGAGAGATTGATTTGTGTTGCCCACGTGCACCGCGGCAATTGAGATCCGATGGAGAACGCGGTGGTCTGCCTCTGGCCCGTCTGACTAATGTAGGAAGGATGCCTACGCGTAATTAACTTGTCCTGATAAATAGGCGCTTGCAGGTTGTCGGAGCTATCGATGAGCAATTGGATGCGTTAAAGCTTGACGTAGAAGGATCCGTCAAGGGTAGTAAGTAACTGAATCTTCCACGCCTCCCTTGCTATGGCTTTGTCTGTCACAGTTTGTTCACCTACGATGAGTGGCGAATTAGCTAGGCGATGTATCGCAGAGGCAGAGCGGTCACGAATGGCCTAGCTGAAGGTCGCATTCGGGTTGGAAAGATGTCGCTCCAATCTATCTTTCTGAAGTACTGGCAACATGGTTGAGAGACTAGGAATGCCTAAGCCGATGTCAATGGTGGATGCATGGAAAAAGGCGACGGCTGTATCCTTGGCTAATCTGAACCATTTGTCAACGTTAGCCTTGGTTAATTTGTTCATCGTTTTGAGTGTGTATCTATGTATTACTGCATGCCAGATGCTGTGGATGTGTTGTGGGATGAAAAAAGTCCTAAGAATCTCAATCCGGTAGTGTGGTTTTAATGCTGCTTGCGAAGTTTCCTGGAGTTGCTGACGCAGCTCATCGAAGGAGTAAGGCGGTAGGTTGCCGTGCCAGTTAAAAGATAAACGCAGGAACTTAAAAGATTCCGTCGGTTGGACTGGTGGTAGATTCATCGATTTTACTTGTAGGTCAGAAGTGTCCAGTAACGCATTCTGTCTGGATCTGTCGATGACGATACTTACAGTCTTAGTTTACATCTGGTTTATGAAAAGGCCAATAAGCTCGAGGTCGTTGTTATAAGTTTGGAGTCGTTCCTGTAATGCAACTTTGTTTTCCGCTACAATGATCATGTCGTCTGTGTATGCAATATAATCATCCGGACCTGCGGGACACATCCAACGACAGGAGGCTAGCTTTTGAAGACCTTTGTCGAGCGTCATGACGCAAAGTAGGGGTGAAAGTGGGTCCCCTTGTCTAACGCCTCACTCTGTGTAAATTCGCACCTCCTTGAACGTTGAGATCGCCGAGGAGTAGTGGGAAGACGGGTAGTCAATAAAAAACTTAGCGGCTCCAAAGTAGATGCAGCTCTAATTAGGGAGTCATGGGAGATGGAATCAAAGGCCTTTGAAATGTCCACCGATGCGAAAGAGAGGGGGAACAGTGGGAGTGAGGAGCGAATCATGGAATGGAGGATGGATGGGGCCTTAAAACATCCGTCTTTCTACACCATTTCCCGACCAAGTTGTCCTCTTGGGCAACAGAAATAATCTGAGGGGGCATTCAACATGAGTCTACTCAATTAATTTGTTCCGTGCATAGGAGCTGAAGCGTCCCACCTGCACCCCTATGACTTAGTGCGTCTGAGGTCCAATTGGCTGAAGGCGACGGGCTATACACGCACACCTGCACAAGTGACTGGCGTACGCACGGAACAAATTAATTGAGTAGACTCATGTTGAATGCCCCTCAGATTATTTTTGTTGCCCAAGAGGACAATTTGGCCGGGAAATGGTATAGAGAAAACTGAATTGTAGAAGATCAGATGGAAAGGAGGGAATCCAGCGCTCAGAGAGAATGTGATGTAAAAGGCTACAGCTATTGGGTGGAAATTTTCGGGAAGCGTGGGTGGCGGGATCTTTGGGATGAAGGTGACTCCAGCCACATTAAGATGAGAGGGATATGGGTAAGAGGCGGGAACGCGGTTCAGAAAAAATGTGACGAAGTGGAGATCTATGCGTTCAATCTCTTTCGGTGTGATTCGGTCGACGCCAGACGCTGAACCAGCCATCTGGCGTAGCGATGAGCGAAATTCAGATACAGAGACGGATTCAACACGATCTATCATGGCCGGGATGATAGCGTTTGGGGATCGATGGTCAGGCGCTGGTGACTGTGGAAATACCCCTGTCCAATATTTGATGAAGCCAGAGATTCGTTCCTCGTCTTGTAGATAAGAGGTCCACCATTGCGCACCGTTGTCGCCACGTCCCGACGCCTAAGATGATAAAGACGTTGGATATGACTAAACTGGAGTCTACGTCGTTGTTTGCTGTTCTGAACGTTTTTAGTGTGGTTGCGCGGTTTGGATGGCTTCCAAGTATGTGGAAACCACGTCTGACAAAGGTTGTCGAAGCGCGTACGGAACTCGTGTCGTTGAACGGTGAGTGAGAGAGTCGGCTAACAGATTTCGAAGCTCGGGGACCCGTGCTTGGGTTAAATCTGCGTATGGCGGAAGTAGGCTGCTAGCCTCACGGAGCAGGTTGTTGGAACCTTATGAATCGTTCAGATGCGGAGCTATCTAACTCATTCATAGTAGGCATGGTATATTCTCCGTGTGTGAGCGAAGTTGGTACGATTCGAGTTGACGTGGGACACGTGGCTCTCGTCCTGGAGTCGTGATCGGGTGGAGTTGTGTGGAGCGTGTCCAGATCAGCTTTATGACCCTGACGGAAATAAGTTGTTCGGCTACCAGGAGATGATGATAACGACAATGTTGGCGATGGGATGACCCGTCTGGGCGTCTGCTGGTCATGAGTCCCGCAGTTGTGAAGACATGTGAATCAAGGCTTAGTATGGTCTACGTTGTAGGAAGTGTTCCGGTCTCATTGAGTTTCCAGCGCAAGACTCTCTAGCATTTTCTAATACGCTCCACAGGCCGGCAGGGAAGTACGGTTGTAGGCGATTTGCCAAGTCGTTGAGAGAACTGACATTCAACCTGAGAGCATCCGCTTTATTAAGTAGGGTCGCGTCCTCCAGGAACGTCCAGTTAAACGGGTGAGCAGACAAACGCCTCATGCATTCTGCATTGTGTTCGGTGGGGTGGCGAAGTCCACGGTGTTGTGCAAGGTCTCGTTGTGCCGTAAACGTTCTACATGTGCGACATTTATATACGGGATCGTTATAGGCTACTGTTTCCGCTATGAATCCAGTCGGATTTCGCTCGTGTGCCCAGTAGTGTCGCGTGACGCCTCGTCTAGTTGAGAAACTTCGTGAACAAAAATCACATTGGTAGCTATAGATTCGCTGTGAACCAAGTGACTCGGATATATGGTTCTACGCCCTATCTGGCGATTCACAATTGGCGGACATTGTGGATGTCCTAAGGACGACTGTTGATGACACAAAAACTGGGTCTGTCTGTGTCAGTGAGTTTAGAGTCAGTTGGATAGTAGACGAATGCTGAATCTAGGTGGATCGTTCTGGAGGTAATGCGGTGTCATATGT